GAAACTTTAGTCCTATAATCACAAAAATCTAAATTTAACCAACTACTTGAAGTGGATTCTTCCCCAGATCCTCCAGTTAAAAGCCTGGCCAGGCAACCTTGACTTCTGACTTGTGATACCCTAAGCTGAGTCTGCCCTGTGTTCTAACCAACAGAACTGTGAGAAAACAAAGATGAGTGTTGGTTTTGTCCTGTAAGTTTGTAGTAATTTGTGATGGCAACAATATAAAAGTAAGAGTTCCCAAGAGAGAACAGGTATAACCACACTTAACATAGGCTTATAAAGGATAGAACAGAAAAGAAACAAAAAGTAATACAAAAAGTTTAGAGAGAACATGACAGAAAAGACACAAAAAGATTATCCAACATACTTTTAATACTCCAACATACTTGAAATACCTGAAGGAAAAATAGCAAATCAAAGGAATAGAAGAAATGTTTTAAGATTCTACTAAAGAAAACATTGCTGAAATAAAAGCTCTGGATTTACGTATTAAAAGAACTCATCACATGCTAGGAAAAAAGAGAAAGGATGGTCAATTCCAAGAAATACTTTATCAAAACCATTATACTTTAAAAGTAACAAAAGACCCCAAATTGTCAAAGCAATCTTGAAAAAGAAAAGTAAAGCTGGAGGTATCACAATTCCAGACTTCAAGTTATATTACAAAGCTGTAGTAATCAAAACAGTATGGTATTGACACAAAAACAGACACAAAGACCAATAGAACAGATTAGAAAACACAGAAAATTCAGAAATGAACCCACAACTATATGGTCAATTAATCTTTAACAAAGCAGGAAAGAATAGGAAATAGGAAAAAGATGGTCTCTTCAACAAACGGTGTTGGACAAACTGGAAAGCAACATGCAAAAGAATGAAACTGGACCACTTTCTTACACCATACACAAAAATAAATCCAAAATGGATTAAAGACCTAAATGTGAGACCTGAAACCATCAAAATCCTAGAAGAGAACACAAGCAGTAACTGTTTTGACATTGGCTGTAGCAACTTCTTTCTAGTACGTCTCCTCAGGCAAAGGACACAAAAGCAAAAATAAACTATTGGGACTACATTCAAATAACAAGCTTCTACACAGTGACTGAAACAATCAACACAACTAAAAGGCAACCCACTGAATGAGAGAAGATATTTGCAAATGACATATTTGATAAAGGGTTAGTATCCAAAATACATAAAGAACTTACATAAATTGATACCCCCAAAAAACAAATAATCTAATTTAAAAATGGACAGAAGAAGTGAACATACATTTCTTCAAAGAAGATATCCAGATGGCCAAAAGACACATGAAAGGATGTTCAACATCACTTATCATCAGGGAAGTGCAAATCAAAACTACAGTGAGATATCACCTTACACCTGTCCGAATGGCTAGAATCAACAACACAAGAAACAACAGGTGTTGGTGAGGATATGGAGAAAAAGGAAACCTCTTGTACTGTGGGTGGGAATGCAAATGGATGCAGCCACTGTGAAAAACAGTACAGAGGTTCCCCAAAAAGTTAAAAATAGAACTACCTTAAGATCCAGTAATTGCACTACAGGGTTTTTACCCCCCAAAAATACAAAACCACTAATTCAAAAGGATACATGCACCCCTATGTTTTTAGCAGCATTATTTACCATAGTCAAGCTATGGAAGTAGCCGGGGTGTCCACCAAATGATGAATGTTTAAAGATGTGAGATAATGGAATATTATTCAGCCATAACAAAGAATGAAATCTTGCCATTTATGACGACATGGAAGGAGCTAGAGAGTATAATGCTAAGTGAAATAAGTCAGAGAAAGACAAATACCATATGATTTCACTTATATGGAGAAATCACAAAACAAAACAAATGAGCAAGGGGAAAAAAAAGAGCGAGATAAGCCAAGAAACAGATTCTTAGTAATAGAGGACAATTTGACGCTTGTCAGAGGGGAGAGGAGTGGGGGTATGGGTTAAAAAGGTCATGGGGATTAAGGAGGGCCCTTGTCATGATGAGCACCGGGTGATGTATAGAATTGCTGTGTCACTATATTGTACACCTGAAACTAATATAACACTCTATGTTAACTATACCTAAAATAAAAAAATAAAATAAAATAAAATAAAATAAAATAAAATGGAAAATAATATCCTCCGAACTTCCAGAGAAAAAGGCCAAGTCACTTACAAAAAAGAAAACACAAAGTGCAATAGTAGAGCAACGTTTTCAAGATTCTAAAGGAAAGGACAAGGTATGAGCCAAGATTTTATTACCAGCAAAGTTTTAAACATTAGAAAAAGAATCTCAGGAAATATTGTACACATAAATGCTTCCTAAAAATAGAGGATGAAAATTTTACAACATAAGGATGGAGAAGGATTTAGAGAAATTTTGGTACTGAGCATACCTAATTGATGATCTAGTACTAAAATAAAGGCAGTATTAAGTATTAGAGTTGTAAGAATAACATGTAAATATTATTTGCTCTGATGAAGTAGAAATAACATAACTAAAAATGCAAAGAGAAGAGAGAAAGGAACATAGAATAACCTTATTAACATATAGATGGGAATTAAAATATTGTAAGCTGACATCACAGAAAAATCTAAGAAAAGAAGACTCAGATGATTACATAAAGGTATCAGTATAATGACAACTAGTGGAAACAACAAAAATGACTGCAAAATATAAAATGGTATGGCAGAGCTGTAGGATTTTCTTATATTAAGGATATTGGTTTATTTTGAATTCTATTGCAAATATCTTCTGTCAGTTTGTCATTTACCATTTAATTTTATTTTGATTGACATGAAGAGAGTTTTTTATTTCTCTCTAATAATTATATCAATCATTTTATACCCTCTGGATTTGGGGACTTTTAGAAAGAATTTTTCTACTCTGTCATTATATATATTTTAAAAATTTTCAATATTTTCTTCTATAGTTTTATAGTTTAATCACTGATTCATGTACTTTTACTGAAATGTTAAGACAGAAAAGGTTTTTTTTTTTTTTCAGTTTCCTTTTTTAAAAACAACACTGAGTGAAAACTTTATCTTTCCTCCACTGACACGTGATGCCACACTTACTGTATGTCAAACTCCTGTATATTTTGGGAATTATTTCTTAGATATCCAACTTTTCAACTTACTTCTCTTGAAATTTATACACCAACACACTGTTTAGTATGATATAATACCTGGTAAGGCAAATCTCTTGCCATTACTTATTTTTTATTAAGTATTTTATTTTAATTCCAGTATAATTAACATAAACTGTTATATCATTTCCCGGTGTACAATTCTATACATTACTCAGGGCTCATCATAAGTGTACTCTTTAATCCCCATCACCTGTTTCACTAACCCCCTGACTCGTCTCCAAAAAACTTCTTCACCATTCTTGTGTATTTATTTTTCCATGACTGGTTCTAAAGGGGCATCTTCATGAACTGTCAATTTTGCTTCAAAATAAGTAATTTAATGTTTTACATTTGTGAAAAAAAACCCACAGAATTTGCACGTAAGATGATGTCCAGCTGGGCACCTACCACCAAATTCCCTGTCAATGTTTCCAGATGCTCCTCTGTTTTTAGGGTTAGTTTCATAAAAAGGGGGAAAGAGGTCAGGCTTTGCAGTCAGAGATTTGGATTTGTTCCCTGCCTAAACTGCTTATCATTTTATAACCTTGAGCCTATTACTTTAGTTGGTTGAATGTCAGTTTCTTCATTGGAAAATAAAGAGGGTAAAAATGCCTGCTTTGTAAAGTTTCTGAAGCATTGGATACATTTTAGAGTAGCTTTGCCTGACTCATGGTGGGAACTCTCTGGAAAATAATTTCAAATAGATAACATCCTCATCCATAGCTCCAATCTAGATTTCTCTCCTAACTTCAGAATTGCCAGGACTTGAATCCTTTTGTTTGATAACTTTCTATTCATCCTTTAAGAAAGCTCAACCATCACCTCCTTTGGGAATAGTTTTTTTCACTTCTCCATGTTTAGCACTTCTTTTCCTTTATCACTCTGCCCACAAGTTTATAAATTGTGGTGTATTCTATTTATCTGATTATTTGTTTGCCTCACCAAGGAAACTGTTAACTCCTACATGGCAAGTCACTTGTCACTGATACTACTGTCTCAATTCTAGCATATTACTTCCCTCATAATTAATTCTCAAAAGTAGCTGTTGGTTGAACATACATTTTCTATGGGGAAAAAGGAGAGCACATAGGACATATTATATTTGTAATTTTTCTTTGCTCTTTGCTTTATGAGAACAAAGTGGGGGAAAGGATGACACTGAATGACTTCCTAGAAATTTTTTTTTAAAAGATTTTGTTTGTTTATTTGACAGAGAAAGATACACAGCGAGAGAGAGAACACAAGCAGGGGGAGTGGGAGAGGGAGAAGCAGGCTTCCCGCGGAGCAGGGAGCCCAATGCGGGGCTCGATCCCAGGACCCTGGGGTCATGACCTGAGCCGAAGGCAGACGCCCTACGACTGAGCCACCCAGGCGCCACCTAGAAATGTTTTTTATTATCCTGTTAAACTGCACTGACTGAACACAGACACCTGACCCTACTTGGCAATAGGAAGTGCAGGCACCACAACAGGAAGTGCAGGCACCATGACAGGAAGTATAGGCACCACAACAGGAAGTGCAGACACCACGCAAGCGCACAGAAGGCCGTGTAATGTGACCCCTCCTCACTGACTTCCGGCCTAACCGAGGGCAACGACGGAAGGCGAGGCAACGCGAGGCAAGGCCCGGCGCAGTGGCCGCAGCCTATAGAGATACAGGTATTTTCAGAGACTTGCAAGATTTTGTGTATTGCTTTCTTGCTGGTGGGTTTCTTGGTATAATTTTCGAAGTTAAGCTGGTGGCTCCACTCTGGAGTTGCGGCACTCGTAAGACTCTACACTGACGTGAAGGGCGGGGTTTTTACCCCGCTCCACTAGGCATTTGCATTTTGTCTTCTTTTGGGGCCCCTTTTGTCCCACGATGCAACAGGCTTTAGAACAAGCTGTGGACCGTGCGGACTATGTCATCGCAAGTGCCCAGCAGAGGCCTCCTAAAAGGAAACGCTCGTCGAGTGGGGAAGCCTCTCTCTATGAAAAACTTTACGACATGTATGTGGAAGAATGTGGGAAAGAGCCTGAGGCTCCGGAGGAACTAAGAAGCAACACGAACTTGCTAGAGAAGCTCGTTAGGAGAGAGTCATTGCCGTGTTTAGTGATCAACCTACACCCAGGAGAGGAGGGATATTCCCTGATGCTCGAGGGGAAACACGGCGCATATTCGGAGACCATTCGGCTGCCTTACGAAGAAGGGGAATTGCTGGAATACCTGGATGCTGAAGAATTACCTCCTGTTCTGCTGGACCTCTTGGAAAAATCTCAGGTTAACATTTTCCACTGTGGGTGTGTCATAGCACAGGTGCGGGACTACAGGCAGTGCAGTGGTGGGGAACCTCCCGGCTACCAGAGCAGGCATATTCTCCTGCGCCCAACCATGCAGACGTTAGCCTGCGACGTGCAGTCCATAACCAGCGATGGCCAGGAATGGACGCAGGAGGACAAACTATTGCTTGAGAGCCAACTGATCTTGGCTACTGCGGAACCCCTGTGCCTCGATCCTTCCATATCAGTAGCCTGCACCACAAACAGGCTGCTTTATAACAAGCAAAAGATGAACACTCACGGGATGAAAAGGAACTTCAAGAGGTATTCTGCACCCTCTCTGAGTCGGCAGCAAGAGCTCTCTCATTGTCCACCTCCTCCTGAGCTAAATGTATTGACTTCTTGCACAAAAAGCAAAGAAAGTTTAACAAGTGAGAATTCTGACTTCATAATTTCTAAAGCAGAAAATTATGTAGATAAGTGGAAACAGAGACCCTGTGACTTGGCTGTACCTTCTGAAGTGGATGTGCAGAAATATGCTAAATGGGAGAAGTTTGTCAAATATGATGACTCACAACCAACAGTCTGGCCAGCCCATGAGGTAAAAGATGATTCTGTATTTGGATATGAAGGTGCTGATGAGTCTCAGACAACAAAGCTGACCTTCACGCAGTCACTTAATGATCCACTTATGTCTGGAAAAGGAAGGCAATGTAAAAAAGTCAGATATGAGAGACAGATGTCTCCTCCTCTGCACCCCTCCACAGATGACCATTCAGATAGTGTCATGCCTGGGTCAAAGACTGATGCTGGGGTAGTAGTCACTGAGTCAGAAGTGGTGGTCCTGCAGAAGACCAAATATCCGGTCACCATGTCACAAAGTTCCAGCAACTCAGCGCGCCTCAGCCAGCTTCCTCCAGGGAAAGAAACTGAACAGCCTAAAACTGTGTCTGTTCAGTCTTCAGTCCAGGGGAAGGGAGTCAGACATCCATCTCCAACCATCAAACTTCCGTCGAGCTCAGAAAAGACTTCATCAGGAAACAGTTTTACTCCGTGGCAAGGAAACAGCTTTCTTAAATCTCCATCTCCTGTTCTTGCTTCTAACCCACCAAGTCTTTCTCAGAAATCCACTGTGGATGTGAATCCAGTGAGCACATTTCCTGCAGCCACTGTGTCCACCACCAGCTCATCACAAAGAATCCTGGCCACCCCGGTCATGAACAACTCCCAGAAATCCTCTGTGGAAGTGATTCGAGTTGGCACGCCACTTCCTCCAGCCACTGTGTCCACCATCAGCTCAACCCAAAGAACCCTGGCCACCCAGGTCATGGCCAACTCCCAGAAATCCTCTGTGGAAGTGAATCGGGCTAGCATTCTTCCTGCAGCCACCCTGTCCACTGCCAGCTCATCGCAAAGAACCCTGGCCACCTCAGTCATGACCAACTCCCAGAAACCCTCTATGGAAGTGATT